AATAGTAATTCTTCTTCTTCTTCTTATACTGTGTAATCACACACACATTTTCCATATTCCTTTTTGATTGTTTGTTGTTTTACTACACATCTATTTAAAAAAAAAAAAAATTATAATTATTTATTTTTTGTTATTTTATTTATTCATTTTTAATTATTAACTTGTTTTATTTATTTAATTTCACTGAGCACGCATAAACTTTTTTGTTCTATTTTTTTTTTTTAACACAAAAATTATGTATAATTAATTTTTATCGTAAAGAAAAACGTTACCTCAAAAAAAAAAAAAAATTTGGTTACATAAAACGTAACAACGACAACAACAAACAATCAAAAAAAAAAAAAAAACAACAACCAACGTGCATACATTATTCAAACTTTAAAAAAAAACATTTTTCTCTTTTTTTTTTTTTCCTTTTCTTTTTTTCTCCAGTAAATTTTTTTTTTTTTAAAAAAACATGTCGTGTTTTCCCTACGCACGCCCTACAACCAACCATTTATTATTATTATTTTTTTTTTCAATATTCCCGGCAATAAATAAAAATTCAAACTGTTGTTCACTTAACACAAACATTTTCATACACATTTATTTCATTCATTCATTTTTCTTTCCTTTTTTATTTAAATTCACAAACATAATTCGCTAACATTTTTAGATACGATAATAATTTGAAAGAAAAAAAATGATAGAAAGAACAATAATAAATAAATAAATAGAATAGGTAGTAATGGTAAAAAAAAAAAAATAAATAAGAGGAAATAAATAAATAAATAAAGAAGAAAAGTAACGAGAATGTTCGCAGCTGCTAGCGGTGCACGATTGGCACATCGTCATAATAAAACAAATAAAAAACAAATCAGTACAAATCAAATAGAAGGATATAATCATCATAATATAAATAATAATAATAGTAAAACATTAGTTAAAAATAAAAATGCCGACATTCACGGGTTTATAAGGTATTCGGGTATATCGAATGTTTCCGGAATTCCTCAAAGGCGACTTGCATATTCATCAAAATTGTATTCTTCTTCTTCTTCTAATTATAATCCCGGCTTTGAATTTTCAACGAGCTATATTGATATCAATGGAAGGATATCCAAATTTGGAAATTATGATTTTGAGGTCTGTCTCTTCAATTTTCTTTTTCTTTTTCTTCTTTTTTTATTTATTATTTATTATTATAATCATTTAGGTGTTATTATTTAAAAAAAAAAATTTAATACTTTTATTATAATTATTATTTTTTATGTAGAAAATTAAATTATTATTATTATTATTAGATTTGTAGTAGAGAAATAGTTATTTATTTAGAACGAGTAGTCATAGAGTAATAAAAAAAAAATTTTTAAGTAGAATAGATTTGAAAATTGTCACTGCAAACCAAAAAGAAAATATTTTTCTTCGCATTAATTTTTCTTTTTTTTATTTATACATACATATTTAAATTATTTATTTATTTATTTTATTATTATTTATTAATTTCGTTTGTTTTCTTTTTAATAAATAAATAATTTCGATCGCTTTTTCGTCGACGCTTCAATGATGAAGATTTCGAAAAAAAAAAAAGTTTCGATATTCGAATTACTCGTGTTCTCTTTTTTTTTCTAAACTTTTTTTTTTTTTCTATAAAAAATTAATTTCTAAGTAATATTTATATAGAAAAAGAAAAACTTTTTCGAAAAGAAAATTGTATGGATTTGATATAGAATAATAAAAACGATTATGCAACAAATAAAATGAGTTGTAACACGCAAATGCAGAAGTGAACGCTTTACATGTCCTCATAGATTAACAACCTGTTGGTTTTTCAAACATTTTTTTTTTTCTTATATAAATAATAATGATGATGATGATGATGATCAAACGATTTGTAAACATAATAATAATATTTTAATTTTATTTTCTGTATTTTTCAAGTTCGAAAACAAAAAAAAATTATTTTTTTTTGTCCCTCTTCATATTTCGAGAAATATGAAAATTTTGAAAATAATTTCCGGTTTTATTTATTTAATTTATTTATTTGTTTATAATAATAATAATAATAATAATTACTTTTTTTTTTCCAAACGTTCATTCAACTCGACGTTTATTATACAAAAAAAAAAATTTATGACGTAAAATATTTGTGTAAGTTCGATCGATTTGTTTCTATTACTTAAAATTTTATGGATTTGTTTTTATAAATAAAAAAAAAGGAAATGTTTTATTTACTAAAAAAATAAATATCGAAAAACGGCCGTAAAAATTCTAAAAAAATAAATAAATAAATAAATAATCAATAAGAAAGAAAAAAATAGAAAGAAAGAAGAAAATAGAAAAACCTTAAAAATTTTTTATTATTTTTTTATTCTCTAAAAGAAAAAAAATTATTAATAATGATAATAATAGTAGTGAAGCAATTATAGTTTTTTTATCGAATTGTTTAAAATAAATTTAATTACGAATTATTTAATTGATTTAATTAAATTAAAAGTGCAAAAAACTAAAAAAAGTAAACATAACGTATTAAATCTACAAACTAGAAAACTTCTCTTCATCCATTTTGTTTTTGTTTTGTTTTTATCAAACGTAAAAATTAATGTTTTGAAAACATTATTATACTTTCATATTACTTTTTAAATAATATAATAAGCAAAAAAAAAATTAATTAAAAACATAAAACATAAACATAAACGTAAAATAAGTCGTTAAACAAAAAAAAAAAAAGTTAATAAATTTTATTTATTTTTTTATTTTTTATTTTCATCAAAAAAGCCGTAAAAAGAAAAAAAAAATTTTATTCATCCATAACATCTCTAATTATAAAAATATTATAACGTAATTTTACCCCGATGAAATTTTTATTATCATTATTATTATTATTATTATTATTATTATTATTACTATTTTTGTTTTGGAAAATAACTTCAAGAAACGTATGTGCACGTGTATATTTTTGTTACTGAAATAATAAATTTCAACTTTTATTCGAAGTAATTAATAACGTAATACAGACGTTAAATAAAAAAAATTTTATGACGTCATCATCTCAAAGGAAAAAAAAAAAAATTAATAATAATTCAACATGGCGTTGGATTTGACGATCCTTCTTTTTGTTCCATCCGCGATAATACAGGTTTTGATAAAGTGTTATAATGAATTTAACCACAACAAACACACACGTACACGCACACTTTTAAAATTTTCCGAGTAAAAAAATAAATAATTATAATTAATTTTTTTTTTCAATTCGAACGAATCAGTACGGTTTACAAATGGCGGTGATTTATTTACGCGGAACACGATGATGATAAAAAAATGTTATAATATATCGAACGGTAAATATAATAATAACTGTAGTGTATAACGATAACAAAGAGAGAGAGAGAGAGAGAGAGAGAGAAAATGAAAAGTCCGGGTAAAATAAAACGATTGTAATAACTTTTGGTAATTTAAAAAAAAAGGAAAAAAAGGAAAAAGGAAAAACAGTGTAATATTAGTTAAATGTATTCGCACACTTGTTATCAACATGCAAGCGGCTTTATTTATAAGAGAAAAACAAGAACTACGTAAGAAGAAATTGAAGATAAAAAGAAGACGTTATGAACTTCCTGCTCACGTAGCAACTAGAGATATAGCGCCCTTCCCACAGTTTCCTCCCAATTCTTGGGTACGTCCCCCCAAAAAAAAAAAAATTGTCATTTTTCGTTTTTATTTTTTTTGCTTTTCTACTATCAATGCGCTTTGTGTTATTATTCTGTCTTATTTATTTATTTTTTTTAATGATAAGAATTAAATTTATTCATCATTCGTGATACAATTTTTTTTTCTTATATACGCGAATGTATGCGTTAAATTTAACGATGTGAAAATTTATTATTATTATTATTATTATTATCGCTGTTTTTCGTCTGTTCACTTCTGCAAAAAGAA